GCCCTCGCGCACCCACCTTCTCCAGGGGTGGTGAGGCGGAGGACGAGAAGAGGAGGAGGAGCAGGAGCAGGAGGAGGAGGAGGAGGAGGAGGAGGAGGAGAAGGAGGAGGAGGAGGAGGAGGAGGAGGAGGAAGGAAAGAGGAGGAGGAGGAGGAGGGAGGAGGAGGAGGAGGAGGAGGAGGAGGAGGAGGAGGAGGAGGGAAAGAAGGAAAGGAATTGGAATAGGAGAAGGGAGGAGGAGGAGGAGGGGAGGAGGAGGAGGAGGAGGAGGAGGGAGGAGGAGGAGGAGGAGGAGGAGGAGGAGAGAGGAGGAGGAGGAGGAGGAGGAGGAGGAGGAGGGGGAGGAGGAGGAGGAGGTGGAGGAGGAGGAGGAGGAGGAGGGAGGAGGGAGGAGGAGGGAGGAGGAGAAGGAGAAGGGGATTGGAGGAAGAGGAGGGAGAAGGAGGAGGAGGAGGGAGAGGAGAGGGAGGAGGAGGAGGAGGAGGAGGAGGAGGAGGAGGAGGAGGAGGAGGAGGAGGGGAAGGAGGAGGAGGAGAGGAGGAGGAGGAGGAGGAGGAGGGAGGAGGAGGAGGAGGAGAGGAGGAGGAGGAGGAGGAGGAGGAGGCGGGGAGGGAGAGGAGGGTGGAGAGGAGGAGGAGGAGGAGGAGGTAGGAGGAGGAGGAGGAGGAGGAGGAGGAGGAGGAGGAGGGGAGGAGGAGGAGGAGGAGGAGGAGGAGGGGGAGGGAAGAGGAGGGGAGGAGGAGGAGGAGGAAAGAGGAGGAGGAAGAGGAGGAGGAGAGGAGGAGGAGGGGAAGGAGGAGGAGGAAAAGGAGGAGAAAGAGGAGGAAAAATAAGGTCGGTCGGTCGGTCGGCAGCGAGCGTTGGCGCCAGGTCGGGCCCCGATTGTGCGAAAAAGTTGTGCTCCCACGGGAGATCTCCCCGGGCCGACGACAGCGATGGCGGGAGTGTGCACCACAGCCACAGAGAGAGGGAGGGAAGCAGGGCGGGGCAGGCAACGGGGGGGCAGCCTGCAGGTCGGGAGCAGGACATCCAGGAGAGGCCCCTTTTATACTGTGCAGTGTATAGTTGAGGCGCTGCAGAAGGGGGAGGGGGGAGAGGTGGAGAGGGGGGGGGAAAAGGCGAAGAGGGGGGGGAGAGGGGGGGGGGGGGAGAGGGGGGGGGCGGGAAGAGGTGAAGAGGGGGGAGGGAGGAGACTGCGGCTCTCAGTCCTTCAGAGGGTGCGGCTGGAAAGGGGGCCGAAGGTCGTGAGGACTCTGGAGGTTGCAGGGGGGGGCGCGGGGGACGAGAGGGGGGGGGCAGAGGAGGGAGGAGGGATGAGGAGCGAAGGGGGAAGGACGAGGAAGGCATGATGGGAGAAGGGGCAGAGTGAGGAGAAGGAGAAAGCTCCTCTTTCCTCCTCTTATCCCCCTTCCTGAGCCTGTCCCGCTCGAACTCCCTTCCTCTAATGCTGCGCCTTCGAAGGGGCCTTGTCTGTCCCATCGCGCCACTGTCCGCGTCGAATCCACGTTGAACGCGTCGAATCCGATTCGAGGTCACGTCGAGTCCACGGCGAACCTGCGCCATCGGAGCACACGCACGGATGACAAATCACACGACACGCAAGTTCCCTCCACAGATGCAGAGGTTCGGCGGCACACCCAGGGGGGAACGCAGACTGGGGCGGGCCTTCGCAGAGGCCTTCGGAGAAGCCTTCTAAACCCTCTCCGATGCCCCACCAGGTCATCAATCGGGTATCTGGCGGCCTTCGGGGCGATGCGGGCACCCCAGACCGCTCTCGGCGAGGCGCAGCTGCCGGAAAGCATCCCAAGGTTAGAAAACCACCAAGAATATACAAAAGCGCCAAGAACCTTGAATCTCGAACCTGAAACTTCCCCCCCTGAGCCTATTCCCCCCTAGCGTTGCCCCTGATGAACACCACCTGGGAGGCGGGTAGGGGACTGGACTTGCGGCACGGGTCGCGGGTCGAGTTTCGGACCCCTCAGGCTGCGACATCGGAGGACCTCGGCAGGCTGATCTGGGCTGCCTGCCCTGCAGGGAGGGGGACAGGAGGAGGGGGGGGATGGGAGGGGGAGGGACTGGGGGCAAGAGGGTAGCGGGTCAAGCTTGGGGCCTCTCGGGGTATGACAGATTAAAGAACCTCGGCAGGCTGACCTCGGCGTGTCAACATTCGGAAGCGTGTGTTCACGCGCGCGCACGCGCTCCCACGCGCACCAGCGCGCGCACGCGCTCAGGATGAGGCTCGAGCTCGGGCGTGGTCTCAAACGCACGCTCGGTTTCCGGGCTCCGGCTCTCGCTCGGGTCACGCGAACCCGCGCGCGCACGCGCTCAGGATCGGGCTCGGGCTCGGGCCCTGTCTCGAGCACAACGCTCGATCTCGCGGTCCGGCTCGCGCTCGGGCCACGCGCACCCGCGCGCGCGCGCTCAGGATGGGGCTCGGGCTCGGTCTCAAGCTCGCGCTCGGGCTCGGGGTCCGATTTGCGCTCGGGCTCGGGCTCGCCCTCGCGCCGGAGCTTGCGCGCCTGAGCTTGCGCGCACGCACGCGCGCGCGCGAAAGCGTGCGCGCAGGAACGCGCACACGAGCACGAACGCGCACGTGCGCACGTTCGCGCACACTCGCACGCTCGTGCACCCGCACACGCGCACGTGCGCGCACGCGCACGCGGACTGGCCCCGTGTGAGGGCGAGGCGTGAACACAATGCTAGGACACCCACCTCTGGGCCCCGTGCCCCCCCCCCCCACACCTCTGTGCATTTGAAATTCCTGAGCTGGGTGTGGCTACAACGCCAATCTTTTCGAGGGACAGCGGTTCCAGCAGGTTCTGCCGTCCAGATGGGTGGGCTCCTGCACACACACCTCTTACGAGGGGCTTTGATTCCAGCAGCCCCCGCTGTGGGTTCGAGCACCCAAGTTTGACGAGGGGAAACGGTTCCACCTGCTTCTGCCGTCAAGAAGGGTGGGTTCTAGATTCTAGCACCAAGATCTTACGAGGGGAAGTGGTGCTGGAGCCCGCGGCGCGGGCGACAGCACCCAATGCTGACGAGGGTAAGCTGCTCCAGCAGAGGATGCCGACAAGACGACCGGGCCGCACAAGGCCGTCGTCTGAAAAGGCAGCTGTGGCGACCCGCCCCCAAGCCACGAACCCTCCTACTGTCAGTGAAAACACTGCACCAGTCACGCATTCACCCGACTGCAGGGAATGGGAGGGATGGAGTTGGGAGGCAAGGGAGAGGGGGGGGGATCCGAGTGGAGGTGGGACGATCGTATGGGAGGTGGGCAAATGGAGGAGGGGATGGGGGAAGGCGAGGGAGGGCAGGGCCGAGGAAGGAAAGGACAGTGGAGGCGTAAATGGAAAGAAACTGGACGTGACGAAAAGGTTTTGCATTTTATTTTATTTGTTTTCTATGATATGGACGTGGCGGAAGGGGGTGGGAGGGAGTGCAGGCTAGGGGAGAGGGAACTCTATCGTCGCCTTTCCCTTCTCCATCCTCCTTTTCCCTCTCCCCTCCTCCCTCCTCGCTCCTCCCTCCTCCATCTCCCCTCTATCTCCTTCTCGCCTCGCATGGCAGCCCGAAGCTCTCCCTGCGGGTCGGGAAAGGGCTGGCGCGGAGCTGCTGACCGATCTCGGGATCGCAGGAGATGGGGAATACCCATCGGTCGGAAGAAGTAGGTAGAAACATGAAGTAGGAAGGCGTTGAACATAGATTGGGTGTCCACCCGCCCCCTAAGGAGGACGGAAAAGGTGAAGCCACTCGATCATTGAAATAGGAAGGCGCTTGAAGTAGATTGGAATCTGGGAATCTAAAAATACCTACTTTCAACTACCGATGGGCAGTTGCTCGAGGCAGCCTCCCCTGCATCTTGCCCCCTGCACCCTTCAGGGCTACCAGCCCTGAGAAACCCGCGAGAGGCGACAACACAGGCTTGCCCCCTGGCCTCGCTCGAAGGGCCATGCCACCTTTAACAGCTCCTCCTCCTCTTCCTCCTTCTCCTCCTCTTCCTGCTCCTGCGTCTCCTCCTCGTCCTCCTCCTCCACCTCCTCCACTCTATTCTCTAACTGGTTCTCCTCGTGACCGCGAGCTCCCCGCAGCTTGGCCACGATTCCCCCAAGTCTGCGCGTGAACTGTCTCGGCGGTATTACCCTTTGCCCCCAGCGTGGCATCTGCCCAAAGTATTCCACACAAGAACTGGCTAACGACTGGAGAAAACAGAGGAATCGCTGGAACATGGAGGCGGGCATGGGGAATACGGAGGAGGAGGAGGAGCAGGAGGAGGAGGAGGAGGAGGAGGAGCAGGAGAAGAAGGAGAAGGACGACGACGACGACGACGACGGCGAGAAGCTGCAAGGGGAGGAGGAGGACGGGAGGAGGAGGAGCATTGGAGGAGGAGGAGGAGGAGGAGCAGGAGGAGGAGGGGGAGGAGAAGGGGGATGAGGGGGAGGAGGGGGATGCGGGGGAGGAGGAGGAGGACGAGCAACATCAGAAACGTGTGGACGACAACTTCTAGCTCCAACCCGGAACGGCGCCCCGATGCCTGACAGATACGGCTGCGCACTTTTTGCGGCGCCGGCGCGGCCAGGGCGACTGTGAGGCCCAGAGGCGGGGAACAACTGCACAAGCATCAACGTTCTGAGCTCCGCGCGGGACTCTTGGAACTGCGCTGGAACCCCCTCCCTGGCGCGTGGAGCGCCAGAGGGGGTGGCGGAGGAGGCGCCGCCGCGGGGGGGGGGGCCAGCGCCGATCCAAGAAGCCTGCGCGGAGATCCAACAGCTGATGCTTCTGCAGTGCTTGGCTGCTCGTGGTGTGTCCATGCCCTACCCCTCGGGCAGGAGCCTCTCGACTGCCACCTCGACCCTGCCCCCGCAGTCCCTGTACAGCTCGAACAGGCGGTCGCCGTCCACGGAGAAGCCCATGGCCTGCAGCTCCTGGCAGAACTGCCACTCCATGCAGCCGCCGCCATGCAGGCCGCCCGCCCCCTCGGGCGGCTCTGCGCGGGTCCTCGG